TTGTAGAGACCCCATCACCCTGCACACCTTGGGAAAGATCCCAAACCCCCTGTATGCCTCACATAGGATTCCAAATCCATTGCATGACTTACAGGGAACTCCAGTGCCCTCCATACCTCGGAGGGAACCTAAAATATCCCTGTGTGTCACACAAGGGACCCCAGCCTCCCGCACAGGAGTCTCATGGGAGACTCCAAAGCCCCCACGTGCCTTACAGGGAAGCCCAGCCCAGCTACACCGAGTGTTTTGACCTGGAAATCAAGTGTAGTTGCAGCTGGGTTCTTGTGCCTCCAGTGTTGTTCGTCACCCCATTGGGGCCCACAGCTACATGGCCCTTCCCTTCCCTTCTGGCCCTTGCCCAGAGCAGCAGAGCCTGTGCAGCACCCTGCAGGATTGGTGATGGCCCACCGGTTAGGTCCTATCAAGTGTGTGTTAACTGGGGAGAGACTTTGTTTTGCCTGCTGACACTGCTGGTCAGGCTGTGTCCCTAGAGATGGTCTTGATGGTTCCCTCTTTGCCTGGGTGTTGTAGTGCATCTAAAAATCTCGGTACCTCCCAAGGGTAAAACTCACCTCTGGTTTGTGTAATGTTAGTTCCTACGTGAAAACCTTCTTTCCCCCCACCCCCCCTTCCCATTGGCTGTGACCTCCCTGCATCCCCTAATCATCCCTGCCACCTAGTATAAGAGATAAGACCCAGAGCATTTCGCTCTCTCTCTTGCCCCGGATGGACGACAGACAATAAACCCGGGATTATTCCAGCAAGTTTGAGACTCCTGTGTCTAGATACTTTGAGTCTGTGTTGTATCCACTCCAGGACCCCCTCCACCGCCTGTGCCCTGAGAGGAGCAGGGCTCTCACCATGGGGGGTGGGACAGAGGGGTCCCATCGGGGATAAGGATAGCAACAGACCTGGGCATGCCAGTGGAGGAGGTCAGGTGATGCCAGGCCCAGGTGATGCCACTGAAGGAAATGTGCCCTCAGCCCAGGGACGCTCAGCTTGGACTCCCCCAGCCCCTCAGGGCCCCGCCGCTGGTCACAGCAGCCCCTGCTTGGCTCCTGCCCACCCACACCGTGGTCAGCCCCGGCAGCTCCTGGACATGGAGCTCAGCCAGGGCTGGTGCCATGAGGGGCTTTGCTGGCGCTACCAGCCAGACACAGGGGTAACAGCTACATTTATTTATTTGAAGAGAAGAAGGGGCCATCACCTACACTGGCAGATGGGCTCACTCAGCTCAGTGCTGTTTAAGGGCAGGGCCAGGGGGCTCAGGGACAGAGGAAGGACCATGTTGGTCCCAGCTGGGGCCGGAGGTTGCTGGGCTGGTCCTGGGGTCTCTACAAGAACTAAGGATGGGTTAGGTTGGGGCAGAGGAAGACCAAAAAAGGAAGTGAAGGGACCTTGGGGATATCCATGGGAAAAAGAGAGGGCAGTGGGATCTACAGGGTTATAAGAGGTTTCCTCAGAGATAGTGTTCCGGGATCCTCCTCTCAGAGTTCTTCAGAGGGCTGCCCAGGCCCTTATTACTCCCAGAGGTGCTGCTCGAGCTGTCTGGGTGTTTAGTGCACCCACTGTACTTCAAATGCTGTTCAGCAGTCCTCCTGTGGAGAGAGGGTAGAGGTGGCTTAGGCCCCCAGCTGCCACTGGCACACAGAGACCCTCCTGCACAGCAGGGCCCAGAGAATCCAAGGCTCCCCAGCACGGCTGCAGCTGCTGGCACAGCTTGGCACAGCTGGAGAGCTGCCCCTCAAGGCCCCGGCGAGCAGGGGATGGCTCTGGGCAGGGTCCCTGGCCAGGAGTGGGCCCCAGAGCACCTCTACTTTTCAAGGGCAATCTCGCTCCCTGCTCTTTCCCCTGCCCACCTTGCTTTGCCTCTGCCCGCTGCTCCTGGGGCTGCTCTTGGCCAGGCAGCCTCAGTGGCAGCCAGCACTGGCTGCAGCCCGAGCGGGCTCCCCAGGACAAGGCCCCTCAGTGAAGAGGCCAAAGAAAGCAGCAGAACTCTCAGTGGAGTTATTTGGACAACCACTGACTACCCACAAGTCCACAGCAGTCTCACTGAGAATATTTCCTGTCTGCAATAGACTTTCAAAAGAAGCTGTTGGAGGGAAAGATGAACAAAATACTCACCGTTTTCTCTTACAGGCATACCAGATTCCAAAGCAGCACAACATGATGATAAGCTCCAAACATAGCACGCCTGCTATTAGCTCTATCCAGCAGAACATTCCCTGACAGAAAGCCCTTTCAATGTCCTTCTTTGAATCAGGAACTTGTGTTGTGCTGGTTGTATCTGAGGAAGCAATGGTCAGTGAGAGCTCATGCTGTGCTCCACTGCTGAGCTGGCAGCATGCTGGGTATGTCCCGTACATTCTCTGTTTCCCCCAGGGCTAGGGTCTGCAGGCACCTTGCTGCCCCTTGGCACAGGCTGTGCCACCCAACAAAGCCCAGAAGGCCGGGAGCAGAGCCCGGGGACAGCGCAGCTGCTTGGGCAGTGGCTCCTTCCAGGGACACGACTCAAAGCCATCCCTGAGCAGCCACTGCCACCCCTGACCCTCCCTACTCTGTGACAGCTCCCCCAGCCCAAGGGGACAGAGCCAGGCCATGTCAGGAGCCAGTGCAGGCCCTTCCCAGCTGGGAGCCAGGGCTGGCTGTGGCCCTGGGCTCATGGCAGGGCTCCCACTCGGAGCTGTTCCTATGCCTTGGGCCTCTGGGCACTCAGGGCCAGCTCCGGGAGCAGCTGCAGCAGGAGGGATGTTGGTCCTCAAGTCCCCTTTTCCAAGGGCTGAGAACGAACTCCAAAGGCCTTGGAGCTGAAGCGCCTCCAGCTTTGGCTGCCGCCAGCCCTGGGGGGAGAGCTGCTGGCACACAGCCCTTCTGAGGGCAGAGTCCAGCACAGTAATTACCTCCTGTATCTGGGCCTGTGCCTGGCATCGCCTTCTTTTCTGCAGCAGAAGCTGCCAATGAACCACTGCTTCCTCCGGGAAATGCCTCCTGGAGCTCAGCCTTTTGGTCCACCACTTGGGAAAGGAAGAGGGACAACTGCATCAGATGGAAACATTTTCCATTGGGGAGGTAGCATCTTCAACAGGTAATGCATGTCAAAATCACAGGTAAAGATCAGAAAAATGTCCAGGCTGTTTAGGCTGGGCCAGGGCCCTCTCTCCTCCAACCAGTTGCACTTCCTGATCTGCCCAGAGACCAGGAAATTGCAGGGGATCTCAGGGTGTGCGTGGCCCGTGATGCACTTGTGGCTCCCTGTCAGCTGATGCCAAATGCCTTCCTCTGGAGGCTGGGGAGAAGCTGCAGCCAGGCCAGGCTGGGAAACAGCCCTGCAGGCTGTGAAAGCAGCATCAGGACTGCAAAGCCACCATGGATCCCTTCCTGCTGTTCCGGGCACGGTGTGTCCAGATGTGCAGAGAAAGCCCCCAGCTGCTGAGTCTCAGGAGAAGGCTGAGGGACATGGACCCACCTTGTGCTCCCTGCACTTCTTTCTCTGTTTGTCTGTTTGTTGAGACTTTTTGGTTCCATTACCTTGGGTCTTGCTTTTTGGACGAACTTAATAGAAAGTATTTAAATTTCCCAGGAATGGATCCCACAAAACCAGGGGTCAGCCTGTGGGGTCAGGAGGGACACACCACTTACCCCTGCGATGTGAGATGGGCTTGTGTGCAGTAACCATCCCAGGAGCTGGCAAAGTCCTCCCTGCAGACACACCTGTAACTAAACAGCCACAGAAGCTTCTCTCATCTCTGCTGATCTGCACAGGCAGCACTGAGCTGCAGGAGCAGTGAGGGGATCACACAGGCCGAGGGCACACACGTGCACGGCTCTGTCCTGGCACCTGCAACAATGCCACCCTGGCCGAGCTCTGGGCTCTGAGCTGGCAGCTCTCCCTGAGGGGGAAAAACATTGACCTACCCTCATCATCTCCCAGAGCCTCAGTCCTAGGTGTGGGTTGGGAAGCTGCATCACCTTCATCTAGAGGCTTGGCTGCAAAGTAAGGTAGGACAGAAGAGCTCCCGTGGTTCTGTAGGAGATCCTCAGGCTCCCTGGGGCCAGCAAAGGAGCTGCACAAGGCACAGCCCCGGGGCACAGCCCTGGGCCTGGCCCCTTCCCTCTCTGCTCTTCTCCGTGGCTGCACAGAGCACACAGAAAGAGACACTGGTATTGCACATGGGAAGAAGATTGACAGCTAAATGCTCCTTCCTCCCACTGACAGCAATCCTGTGGGATCCCTCCAGGCTGCAGGAGGCAGTGGGGCAAGATTTCCAGAATCCATCACCCCTGAGATTATGTTAAGGGAAATGGCACATGGCTGAGCTCTTGCCACCTTGACATTGATTATTCTGTAAGTAAAAAGGGCAATTGAGAACTTGCCTCCAACATCCTCCATGAATTTCAAGCCATTTTCCACCAGGGCTTCCACATAATCCATATCACGATCCCAATCTACAATGGAGCACGTATGAGAACCCTTTTCAGTTGGGGATCCCCTTCTGCCTTAGGGAACTGGGCTCTGCAAGGGGTTTGGGGAAGGCTGTGGGAGCCAGATGACAATGGACATGGCCAAAGCTGCAAAAGGGCCTGGGGGGCTCTGGGCTGGCTCCTGGTCACTCTCCATCCTCTTGCCATGCCCTGTGCAACATCCCTGGAGAGTATAGTGAGGCAGCCCAGGGCTCCTGGGAGCTCTCTCCCATCCCAAAGAAGAAAGTCTCCCTAAAGCTCTGGGGAAAATAGTAGCAGGCAGTGCCACAAATATCCCGTCGCTGCCCCCCTCCTGCCATCCCTCTGCTGGGACAGCTACTGCAGCCAAAGGGGACAGAGCCAGGCCCTCTCAGGATGCAGTGGAGCCTTGCCCTCCCCCTCTGCCCATTCCCCACCATGGGCACCCCTTTGCAGCCACTTCCAGGTTTTGGGACATGTCTCTCATGGAGGGACCCCAGAAGGACTGCTCAGTAGCCGAGTGTCCTGAGCCTGCTGGGGATAATTCCTCTAGGCTGTGCCAGTCTTGTCCAGGCTGTGCCTGCACTGCCAAGCAGCAGAGATGGCAGCTCAAGCCTTAGCAGGGCTCAGGCACAGAGGCACAGCAATTACCTCCTAGGACTGTGCCTGGCATGGCCTCCCTTCCTGCAGCAGAGGCTGCCAGTGAGCCACTGCTTACTCCGGGAAACACCGCCTTCAGCACAGCCTCTTCATGCACTTCTGCAGAAAGGAAGAGGCAGAGCTGGATCAGATGGAAACATTCCCCACTGGGGAGGTGGCATCTTCAGAAGGCAATGCTTGTCAAAGGGCATGGTTAAGGATCAGGAAAATGTCCAGGCTGTTGGGGCTGGGCCAAAGCACTCCTTCCTGCAGGGCCAAAGCTGCCCCTCCTTATCTACCCCAAGACCAGGAAAATGCAGGGGATCTCAGGGTGTGCATGGCCTGTGGTGCACTTGGGGCTCCCTGTCAGCTGATGCCAAATGCCTTCCTGCAGAGGCTGGGGAGAAGCTGCAGCCAGGCCAGACTGGGGAACAGCCTTGCAGGCTGTGAAAGCAGCAGTGGGGCAGCGAGGCTGCCATGGATCCCTTCCTGCCGTGCCGGGCACGGCGTGTCCAGATGTGCAGAGAAAGCCCCCGGCTGCTAAGCCTCAGGAGAAGGCTGAGGGACATGGACCCACCTTGTGCTCCCTGCAGCATTTTCTTCAGCATTTGCCACATGACTTCAAATGACTCCAGGGATTTCTTCTCTGAGGTGTATTTGGTCTTTTCTGTTGGAGGAACTTAACAAAAAATATTTCAACTTCCCAGGAATGGATCCCAGAAAAGCAGTGCTCAGGCTGTGGGGTCAGCAAGGACACACTACTCACCGCTGGGATGGGAGTCAGGCTTGTGTGCAGCATCCAGCCCAGGAGCTGGAGAAATCCTCTCTGCAGACACACCTGTAACTAAACAGCCACAGAAGCTTCTGTCAGCTGTCTCTGCCGGGTTGTCAATGAATATTCCTTGGTGGGACAGTGAGAACGTACCTGCAGGTGTCCCAGAGGGCTTCAAATCTTCATATCTCAAAGCAAAGGGAGGAGCCTTCCCAGCATCCGAATCTAGAAGTAAACCAAGATGAGAATCATTCCCATGGTGTGCCAGGGCTGGCTGTGGCCCTGGGCTCTCAGCAGGGCTCCCACTCCCTGCTCCTGTGCCTTGGGCCTCTAGGCACTCAGGGCCAGCTCTGGAAGCAGATGCAGAGGGAGTGATGTTGGTGCATGAGTCCCATTTCCCAAGGGCTGGGAACGAGCTCCAGAGGCCTCGGAGCTGAGGCACCTCCAGCTTTGGCTGCCGCCGCACTGTGCAAGGGCCGGCCCTGGGGGGAGAGCTGCTGGCACACAGCACCGCCGAGGGCTGAGCCCAGCACAGCAATTACCTCCTGTGTCTGGGCCTGTACTCATGTGTGCCATCCCATTCCTTCCTGCAGCAGAGGCTGCCGACGAGTGACCGCTGCCTGCAGGAAATGCTGCCTTCCACAGAACCTCTAGGTGCATGTCTTGAGAAAGAAAGGAGCCAGCTGGATCATATGGAACTGTTCCCCATTTGGGTGGTGGCATCTTCAGGACCCAGTATTTATCAGTGACAGGGACCAGGAAAGTGCCCAGGTTATTTGGCCTGGGCCAGGGCCCTCCCTCCTCCAAACAGCTGCCCTTTGTAATCTGCTCAGAGACTGGGGAATTGCAGGGGATCTCAGGGTGTGCACGGCCTGTGCTGCAGTTTGGGCTCCCTGTCAGCTGATGCCAAATGCCTTCCTGTGGAGGCTGGGGAGAAGCTGCAGCCAGGCCAGGCTGGGAACGAGCCTTGCAGGGCATGATAGCAGCAGGGGGCTGTGCAGGGCACAGTGTGTCCAGATGGGTTGAGAAAGTCCCTGGCTGCTGAGTCTCAGGAGGAGGCTTAGGGGGACATGAACCCACCAGGCCCTTTCTGCAGTTCCTCCACAATTTGTTTCTGGATGTTGTTTGACTCCGGGAATTCCTTCTCTTCTATACGTTTGTCCTTGTCACTCGGAGGACCTCAACAGAAAACATTTCCATTTCCCAGTGGTTCCTACAAAACCAGTGCTCATCCTGTGGGGTCAGCAGGGAGACACTACTCACCCCTGCGATGGAAGTGGGGCTTCTGCACACTAATCAGCAAAGGAGCTGGGAAAGTCCTCTCTGCAGACACACCTGTAACTCAACAGCCACAGAAGCTTCTGTCACCTGGTCCCTGACAGGTTGTCAATGACTATTCCTTCATGGGACACTGAGAACATACCTGCAGGAGGCGCAGAGGACTTCAAAACTTTATGCAGCCAAGCTAATGGAGAAGCTTTGCCAGGAACCTCATCTGGAAGGGAGCACAGATGAGAACCTTTTACAGGGTGTTCTGGGATCCCCTTCAGCCTTAGAGAACTGGGCACTGCAAGAGGGCTGGGTAAGGCTGTGAGAGCCAGGTGTCAGTGGACAAGGCCAAAGCTGCAGAGAGGCCAGGGGAGCTGTAGGGTACCTCCTGGTCAGTATCAACAACCTTTCCATGCTCTGTGCAACATCCCTGAAGGGCAGGCACTGCCAAGCAGTAGAGATGGCAGCTCAAGCCTCAGCAGGGCTCAGGCCCAGAGGCACAGCAATTACCTCCTGGGACTGTGCCTGGCATGGCCTCCCTTCCTGCAGCAGAGGCTGGCACAGAATCAATGATTCCTTCAGTAATTGTTTCCTGCTGCACAGGCTCTCGTTTCATTTCTGGAGAATGGAAGAGGGACAGCTAGATCAGATGGGGCTGTTCCTCATTGTGGAGGTGCCATCTTGAGGAGAAAATATTTGTGAAAGGCAGGGACAAGGATCAGAATCCACTCTGGATTTCAGGATTTGTCACAGGTTAGTCCCTTCTCAAAACAGCCCCTAGACCTGATCTACCCAGAGATTGAGAAATTGCAGGGGATCTCAGGGTGTGCATGGCCTGTGGTGCAGTTTGGTACTCCCTGCCCGCTGATGCCAAATGCCTTCCTGCAGAGGCTGGGGAGAAGCTGCAGCCAGGCCAGGCTGGGAGACAGCCCTGCAGGCTGTGAAAGCAGCAGCAGGGCAGCAAGGCTGCCATGGATCCCTTCCTGCAGTGCCGGGCACGGCGTGTCCAGATGTGCAGAGAAAGCCCGCGGCTGCTGAGTGTCAGGAGAAAGCTGATGGAAATGCACCCACCTTGTGCTCTCTGCTTGAATTCCTTCAACATTTTCCATATGAGTTCAGATCTTTTCAGGGATTTCTTTTCTGCTGTATCTTGTGTCTTCTGTCTTGGAGAACCTTAGAACAGAATACTTCCATTTTACAGTAATGGATCCCACAAAATCAGTGCTCAGCTTATGGGGTCAGGAGGGACACACCACTCACCACTGTGATGGGAGCCAGTCTTGGGTGCAGTAACCAGGTCAGGAACTAGGGAAGTCCTCCCTGCAGATACACCTGTAACTCAACAGCCACAGAAGCTTCTGTCACCTGGTTCCTGACAGGTTGTCAATGATTAATCCTCCATTGAACAATCAGAAAAGTACCTGCAGGAGGCACAGAGGGCTTCACAACTTTATGCAGCCAAGCTAATGGAGAAGCTTTGCCAGGAACCTCATCTGGAAGGGAGCACAGATGAGAACCTTTTACAGGGTGTTCTGGGATCCCCTTCAGCCTTAGAGAACTGGGCACTGCAAGAGGGCTGGGTAAGGCTGTGAGAGCCAGGTGTCAGTGGACAAGGCCAAAGCTGCAGAGAGGCCAGGGGAGCTGTAGGGTACCTCCTGGTCAGTATCAACAACCTTTCCATGCTCTGTGCAACATCCCTGAAGGGCAGGCACTGCCAAGCAGTAGAGATGGCAGCTCAAGCCTCAGCAGGGCTCAGGCCCAGAGGCACAGCAATTACCTTTTGTTACTGTGCCTGGCATGGCCTCCCTTCCTGCAGCAGAGGCTGGCACAGAATCAATGATTCCTTCAGTAATTGTTTCCTGCTGCACAGGCTCTCGTTTCATTTCTGGAGAATGGAAGAGGGACAGCTGGATCAGATGGGGCTGCTCCTCATTGCGGAGGTGCCATCTTCAGGAGGCAATATTTGTGAAAGGCAGGGACAAGGATCAGAATCCACTCTGGATTTCAGGATTTGTCACAGGTTAGTCCCTTCTCAAAACAGCCCCTAGACCTGATCTACCCAGAGATTGAGAAATTGCAGGGGATCTCAGGGTGTGCATGGCCTGTGGTGCAGTTTGGTACTCCCTGCCCGCTGATGCCAAATGCCTTCCTGCAGAGGCTGGGGAGAAGCTGCAGCCAGGCCAGGCTGGGAGACAGCCCTGCAGGCTGTGAAAGCAGCAGCAGGGCAGCAAGGCTGCCATGGATCCCTTCTCGCTGTGCCGGGCACGGCGTGTCCAGATGTGCACAGAAAGCCCCTGGTTGTTGAGTGTCAGGAGAAAGCTGAGGGACATGGACCCACCTTGCCCTCCCTGCAGCATTTCCTTCAGCATTTGCCATATAAGTTCAGAACGTTTCAGGGCTTTATCTTCTGCTGTATTTTGGGTTTTCTCTCTTGGAGGACCTTAGAACAGAATATTTTCATTTTACAGGAATGGATCCCACAAAATCAGTGCTCAGCCTGTGGAATCTGCAGGGACACACCACTCACCACTGTGATGGGAGCCAGTCGTGGGTGCAGTAACCAACCCTGTAGCTGGGACAATCCTCCTTGCAGACATACCTGTAACTGAACAGCCACAGAAGCTTCTGTCACCTGGTTCCTGACAGGTTTGTCAGTGATTAATCCTCCATTGAACAATCAGAAAAGTACCTGCAGGAGGCGCAGAGGGCTTCACAACTTTATGCAGCCAAGCTATTGGAGAAGCTTTGCCCCGAGACTTATCTGGAAGGGAGCAAAGATGAGAACATTTATGAGGGTGTGCTGAGCTATCATTCTGCCTTAGGGAACTGGGCACTGCAAGAGGGCTGGGTAAGGCCATGGAAGCCAGGTGTCCATGTCTCATGGCCAAAGCTGCAGAGGGGCCAGGGGAGCTCTGGGCTGGCTCCTGGTCAGTCTCAACACCCTTTCCATGCTCTGTGCAACATCCCTGAAGGGCAGGCACTGCCAAGCAGCAGAGGTGGCAGCTCAAGCCTCAGCAGGGCTCAGGCCCAGAGGCACAGCAATTACCTTGTGTTACTGTGCCTGGCATGGCCTCCCTTCCTGCAGCAGAGTTAGGCACAGAATCAATGATTCCTTCAGGGAATGTTTCCTGCTGCACAGGCTCTCGTTTCATTCCTGGAGAATGGAAGAGGGACAGCTGGATCAGATGGGGCTGTTCCTCATTGCGGAGGTGCCATCTTCAGGAGGCAATACTTGTGAAAGGCATGGATAAGGATCAGCAAACTCCCGGGATTTCAGGATTGTCCCAGGTTGGTCCCTTCTCCAAACAGCCCCTAGACCTGATCTACCCAGAGATTGAGAAATTCCAGGGGATCTCAGGGTGTGCATGGCCTGTGGTGCAGTTTGGTACTCCCTGCCCGCTGATGCCAAATGCCTTCCTGCAGAGGCTGGGGAGAAGCTGCAGCCAGGCCATGCTGAGAAACAGTTTTGCATGAAAGCAGCAGCAGGGCAGCGAGGCTGCCATAGATCCCTTCTCGCTGTGCTGGGCACGGCGTGTCCAGATGTGCAGAGAAAGCCCGTGGTTGTTGAGTGTCAGGAGAATGCTGAGGGACATGGACCCACCTTGCCCTCCCTGCAGCATTTCCTTCAGCATTTGCCGTATAATTTCAGATTGTTTCAGGGATTTCTCTTCTGCTGTATTTTGGGTTTTCTCTCTTGGAAGACCTTAGAACAGAAGATTTCCATTTTACAGTAATGGATCCCACAAAATCAGTGCTCAGCTTATGGGGTCAGGAGGGACACACCACCTACCCCTGTGATGGGAGCTGGGCTTGTGTGCAGTAACCATCCCAGGAGCTGGCAAAGTCCTCCCTGCAGACACACCTGTAACTGAACAGCCACAGAAGCTTCTCTCATCTCTGCTGATCTGCACAGGCAGCACTGAGCTGCAGGAGCATTGAGGGGATCACACAGGCCGAGGTCACACATGTGCACAGCTCTGTCCTGGCAACTGCAGCGATGCCTCCCTGGCCAAGCTTTGGGCTCTGAGCTGGCAGCTCTCCCAGGGTGAAAGGCCTTGACCTACCCTCACCATCTCCCAGAGCCTCAGTCCTGGGTGTGGGTTGGGAAGCTGCATCACCTTCACCGAGAGGCTTGGCTGCAAAGAGAGGCAGGACAGAACAGCTCCTGTGGCTCTGTAGGAGATCCTCAGGCTCCCTAGGGCCAGCAAAGGAACCGCACAAGGCACAGCCCCGGGGCACAGCCCTGAGCCTGGCCCATTCCCTCTCTGCTCTTCTCCGTGGCTGCACAGAGCACACGGAAAGAGACACTGGCATTGCACATGGGATCAAGATTGACAGCTAAATGCTCCTTCCTCCCACTAACATTGATCCTGTGGGATCACTGTCCCACTCCAGTGGGACAAAGTTTCCAGAATCCATCACCCCTGAGATTATGTTAAGGGAAATGGCACATGGCTGAGCTCTTGCCACCTTGACACTGATTAGTCTGTCAGGAATGATGTATTGAGAACTTGCCTCCAACATCCTCCAAGAATTTCAAGCCATCATTCATTACTTCCAGGTAATCCATGTGATGATTCCAATCTAGAACGGAGCGCAGATCAGGATCATGTCCATGGTGCATTCTGGGATCCCCTTGTGTTTTAGGGAACTGGGCACTGCAAGGTGTTTGGGGTTGGCCATGAGAGCCAGATGTCAATGGACATGGTCAAAGCTGCAGAGGGACCTGGGGAGCTCTGAGCTGGCTACTGGTCACTCTCCACCCTCTTTGCATGCCCTGTGCAACATCCCTGGAGGGGCAGCAGGACCAGCCCAGGGCCCCTGGGGACTCTCTCCTTCCCACAGAGGAAACCCTCCCTTAACCTCTGGGAAAAATCATTCCCAGGGCTTCCCAGAGAGAAGGAAGTGCTGTCCCAAGAAAGGGAAGCCAGGCCGCCTGCTCACCTGCTCCCTGTGCTCGCTGTGGAGAAGCCTGGGCAGCCCTGTCAGGCAGGGCCACTGCCAGGAGGAGCAGGAGGAAGAGGCGCAGAGGAAAGGCCATGGTGCCTTGCCCTCTGCCAGTCCTCCAACTCTTGCTGCCACCACTGTCCTCACAACGCTGTCCCAGTGTCAGCACTGCTGCCGTAGCCGCCGATGCTGCTGCAACAGTCGCAGTCAAGGACTGACTGCTCCGTCCTTGTGGTGCTGTGCAACCACGGGGCTCTGCAACCTCTATGACCTCAGAGCCTGCCGTGACCTCAACCTGTGTAACCCCAGAGCCTGCTGTGACCTCACAGCCTTGGCTGTACCCCTCGAGTGTTCTCCCATCTGACTGCCCTGATTGTAAATCTTTTACTTCATCAAAGGGCCATTGCTAAACAAAACCTTGGTTTTGCCTGCTGACATTGCTGGTCAGGTGTCGCTAGAGGACATGAACGAGGGTTCTGATCACCCACAGCAATCATTTTTTTTTTCATGAGGCAAAAATCCTTTTTTTGGGTTTTTCAACCCTTTCATAAGGTGTTCTGATACAGGTTATCTTGACTGGTAGAAAGAACAATACCTCCCTCATCCCATTGGTGGGACAAGAGAAAAACACTCTCAGAACATCTGTGTCTTGTTTTGGGAGACCAAAGCTTATTTTCATAAACAATCCTTGAGAGAGAAAAACTCCTCAAAAGACTTTATCTTGGGAACAATGAGCGCCTGAGAGCTTGAATGTCTCTCAGGTTCAGAAAATCATGTCCACAGTCAGGCTGTGTCCCTGGTGTTGCTCTTGATGGTTCCCTCTTTTCCTGGGCACTCCAGTGGAGGAGGTGCAGGCCCAGGTGATGCCACTGAAGGAAATGTGCCCTCAGCCCAGGGACGCTCAGCTTGGACTCCCCCAGCCCCTCAGGGCCCCGCTGCTGGTCACAGCAGCCCCTGCCTGGCTCCTGCCTGCCCACACCGTGGTCAGCCCTGGCTGCCCCTGGACATGGAGCTCAGCCAGGGCTGGTGCCATGAGGGGCTTTGCTGGTGCTACCAGCCGGACACAGGGGTAGCAGCTCCATCTCTTTATTGGAACAAATAAGGGGCCATCACCTACACTGGCAGATGGACTCACCTTCAGTGTTGTTTAGAAGGCAGGGCCAGGGGGCTCAGGGACACAGGAAGGGCCATGTTGGTCCCAGCTGGGGCCGGAGGTTGCTGGGCTGGTCCTGGGGTCTCTACAAGAACTAAGGATTGGGCTAGACTGGAGCAGAGGGAGATCAAAAAAGGGAGTGAAGGGACCTTGGGGTTATCCATGGGAAAAAGAGGGGGCAGTGGGATTCACAGAGTTATAAGAGGTTTCCTCAGAGATAGCTGTTCCGGGATCCTCCTCTCAGAGTTCTTCAGAGGGCTGCCCAGGCCCTTATTACTCCCAGAGGTGCTGCTCAAGCTGTCTGGGTGTTTAGTGCAGCCACTGTCCTTCATCTCCTGTCCAGAAGTGCTCCTGTGGAGAGAGGAGGTGGCTGAGGCCCCCAGCTGTCACTGGCACACAGAGACCCTCCTGCACAGCAGGGCCCAGAGCGGCCAAGGCTCCCCAGCACGGCTGCAGCTGCTGGCACAGCTTGGCCCAGCTGGAGAGCTGCCCCTCAAGGCCCCGGCGAGCAGGGGATGGCTCTGGGCAGGGTCCCTGGCCAGGAGCAGGCCCCAGAGCACCTCTACCTTTCAAGGGCAATCTCTTCCCTGCTCTTTCCCCTGCCCACCTTGCTTTGCCTCTGCCTGCTGCTCCTGGGGCTGCTCTTGGCCAGGCGGCCTCAGTGGCAGCCAGCACTGGCTGCAGCCCCAGCGGGTTCCCCAGGACAAGGCCCCTCAGTGAAGAGGCCAAAGAAAGCAGCAGAACTCTCAGTAAAGTTATTTGGACAACCATTGACTACCCACAAGTCCACAGCAGCCTCACTGGGAATGTTTCCTGTCTACAGTAGACTTTCAAAAGAAGCTGTTTGAGGGAAAGATAAACAAAACACTCACTGTTTTCTCCTCCAGGCATACCAGATTCCAAAGCAGCACAACATGAAGACAAGCTCTCCACCCACCCCCATGGCCGTTATCTCTAGCCAGCAGCATGTTCCCTGAGAGAAAGTATTGTGGTTGTAAAGCAGTAACTAAAAAATTACTAGAAAACTTACTTATTTCTTGCTGTGAGATATGGATTAGAACAAGAGCAAAACAGGCTTAAAACTTAAAAGGAATAAAGAAAGTTTATTAACAAAACTACAAGAATAAGAACGCCAGAATAAACCTCCAGAAAACTCCTTTATCCCCTACTACCCAACCATTCCCTTGCTCACATGACAACATAGAGACTGGAACTTTGGTGTTTAAAACAGTCCCAATTCCTGCTAGAGTCTTTTCATCAGTCTTTGTAGAGAAACAGAAGTCTTCTGCAAATCTATGGAGTTTCTCACAAGAAAGCTATTTCTGTTACAGCTTTCTGTCTTTCTGATGCCAGCTGCCCGGAAATCTGTCATCAGTTCACTACTCCCATTTCACATCACTCTGAGGTGTGCCCTTCTGGGAGTCGGGAATATGTGTTGTGGTGCCGGCTGCATCTGTGGGAGCAATGGGCAGTGAGAGCCCGTGCTGTGCTCCGCTGCTGAGCTGGCAGCATGCTGGGTATGGCCCGAACATGTTACCCTGAAAACTCAGCTTCTGGGCTTCCTTTAGTTTTCTAAAGACTTTCCTAGGACAGTAACTAAACATAGATATGTGTACATTCTTCTGTTACACGTCTTGTGATGGACATCTCTCATGGCGAGTGCAGTGGGAAAGTGTTATCCTGATCATCCAATCCCTGGCCATGGTCAGAAGCCTATAAATCCTGGGAGGAAAAATAAACTCTCTCTTCCTTTCACCACACCTCAACCTGTGTCCGTGTGATGTATTCAGCACCAGAGGCAACATCTGGTGAACCCTGACGTGTGCTGCAGGTGATGGTTACAGGGTACTGTCTAGCCTGTGGATATGGCTGCTTTTGGGCTCTCTCCTATGGAGGGCCTGGTTATGGAAATATGGCGTGCGGTGTTTGATAAGAAAGGGATTGATGTTCGGATGCTCACTTTCAGCAATTGTACGAGTACGGGAGAATTGAGGGGCTTTTCCCTGTGGTTGAGGAGATTTTTTTTGAAGTCGGCTTGGGACGCTTTAGGACATTCCCTGCTCGAGGCTCTGCTGGTCGATTATGAGCCCCGGCTGGTCCAGCTGCTGGGGATCTGGTGACGGTACATCCGCTTTCTGGGTAGTAGCTCGTCCTCTTCTGCCAGATCGAGAGCTGTTTCCTCTGCCCTGGGTGAGAGGTCTGGCTCTGGCTTCGGCTCCGGCTGTGGGAGCAGGGTGGGGCTCTCCCACTCCTGCAGTGACACAGAGCCGGGGGGCAGCTGTATCTCGGGTCCTGAGGTCGGCTCCCCCAGGATCACTGGGGTCCCCAGCAGGTTGAATGGGGGTGCCACAGGACTGGTGGGCTTGACCTCACCTCGGCCGGTGCCCTGGAGGTGTAAGCCTGAGGCGGGGTTGGATCCTTGCCAGCGAGCAGTCGGGGGCGCTGCCGAACCGGGGGGCATAACGTTGCCTCGGCCAGTGCCCCGACGGTGTAGGCCCGAGGCAGGGTCACCTCCTTCGTGTGCCCTCCCGGCGCAGACCGATGAGGGGCTGCCTGAACGGGGGGTGGCGCCGGCCCTGGGGGATACCTCAGGGTCGGTCCCATGTCCCTGCTGCGGCTGGGCTGTTCCCTGCCCCGCGGTGTGGGACAGGATGGGCCCAGGCTCCACGCCGGCGGCCCTGCACACTGTTCCAGTGGAGGAGCGGCCGGCACGGCTTCTTGGACATTTAGCCCCTGAAGAATCACTGTTAGGGGCGATTCCAAGTGCTGCCCATCCCGCTCCGGATTCGTGGGGTGTGGGGATGGGTGCTGCGAGTGCTGCGGACGCCAGGCTGGGTTCTGCTGGCCTCATGCTGTGGGATTCCCCTCCTGCGAGCCTGGGTTGTTCCCTGGCATTGGAGCAGGATGGTGCCACGGCTCTGTGGGCTGTGCTTCTACCGCCGCCTCGGTCCTCCTGGTGCTGGAGGTGGGTCGTGCCGAGCTGGCTCCAACCCACCCCGCCTCAGGTTCCCAGGCATCACCTGAGCCTGCAGCTGGAGGCAGCCCTCTCCCGTCGCCTCCTGCAGCCACGGCAGACCAAGGTCCTGCACTGGTTACTATTGACTCCAGTGGTGCTGCTGCGGTGGCGAAGCCAGTGGCCTCCACAGGCAAAGGGCCCCAGGCTGCTGGAGCTTCTTTGGCTGGCCTGTGGACTTTGTCCTCCTGTAAAATGACTGTGCAACTGAGCATATCAGGCATTCCATGTGCTTCCAAATGCTTTGGTCCGGTGGGTGAGGCCATGAGCGCTCTTCTTGTGGCGTGGTTGAATACCACTGCTCAGGGCATCATTGCTCACCTAGGGGACTTTGATTCGGATTTCCTGGGGTGCATTTCTGCCATGGGTTCCACACTCCTGCCTCCTGTTCCTATCCCTGCGGGACCCGGATTTGCTCACCTTGTGCCTTTTGAGTCTTGTGTTTGCAGAGCTGAGAACCAGCTGTGGGGAGATGGTGGCTTCGGGTTCCCTGGACCTCCCTGGGTTCACAGACTGCTGTTCTGACAGCCAGGGATCATCCTGAATGGGTCTGCACCCTGTCCATCCTTGGTGAGATGCTGTCAAAGATTAGCCTCCGCGGGCTTCTTGACACTGGCATGGACATCATAATTGTCAGGTTTGCTGACGGGCCCCCAGAGTGACCCTTGGACGCGATGCTGACACATTCAACGCAAAGAACTTGAGACTGACTCTTTGTTCAGCAGATTCTGTTGTTTTCTCTCATGATAGACTAGTCACCCTCTGTGACTTGATGCAGGAACAGTTGGATCACAGTGATCTGGAGCTTCAGCCAGTCCCTGGGACATTCTGGTTTTCTGTATCAAGACAAAGTCTGGGAAATGGAGGCTGCTACAATACCTCCAGAAGGTTAATGCTATGATGGAAAGCATGGGGATGTTGTAGGCTAGCATGCCTTCACCTGCCATGCTTCCTGCTGACTGGCTAGTCCTCATTGTGGATCTGAAGGATTGTTTCTTTGCAATTCCTTTGCATCCCGATGACAGACCGAAATTTACCTTTCTGGTGCCAGCTATCATTAATGCTGAGCCCAC